TAAAATTCTATTGGTTTATAAGACCGATCGTATTTACCTACATGGGTATAATCTGGTGTAATCAATCACATTGGTGGTCATTACATGTCCGGTTGACATACTTCCGGAACCTTCAATTCCGGTCAACGCATCAATCAATAAACAAGCTGTAAGTTAATAAATTTTGCATGAAGTTTTACATGCAAACAACTTTATTATGAGTTTGACATGAAAGAATGTTAATTGCGTTTAAAGTTGCTACTAAATAGAGCAATAAAAAGAATTCACATTTGCAACTTGCTACCTATACCTACCTATACCGTACGTTGCTTAAGGCAATTTTTTATTTGTTACGAAATCTGCACGCGCTTCTACGTAAATATTGTGACGTTTTTAACTTCGAAATAAACGTTAAAGGAAGTGACTTATAATCATGTGGTAGACAACCATACATAAAGGAACTAATTGGCATTTATTTCGCAACAAATTTACTTGTAATTTAACTACATTCAGAAAATTTTAGTATATCGCGCCCGGGACTGCATTGACCAATGACCATGTCTCAATACAATGTAACCTCATCCCAATTTCTCCTCAACCCTTTCGGAAGCTTTTCAAGTTTTCCTCTCAATTCTTCTGAAGATAGCGGCAACCTTCGTGTTTTTCGTCTCAAAACCTCCTCAAGTTCTTGTATTCACTTAATCGTGATTAGCTTCTCCTATCTTGCTGATGATAGGTACATAGATTAGCCTTTGCTGATACGTATCAACCAATTTCCACTAAAACTTTCCTGAAGTACATACCTACTCCCCAAATTGCTGTCATGTTAATTTCTTAATTTCTTGGTCAATTTATCACCAAAACCAAATCCATCTCAAGCACCTACTAGATTCTTCCCTATCAAGTTCTCTGCAAATTCATCTTAATCTTAAGGAGCGGATTTTTATTATTAATAAATCGGCACCCTTCCTCTTTAATGCTTATATTTTATGTTTAGGTACTGATGTAGCTGGGACAGCTATTATTTCCATCATAGTTTATAAATTTGATATGATTTTTCTTTAGCACAAAGTTATATACATAATGCGAACGAAAGATGGTCCCCTCCATTTGAAGGAAGGGGTAGGCGTAAGTAAGGTATAAAATACCTACTACTTCCTATGTGCTTGCCATAAAATGGCGATTGTATGTGCCATTTAGAATGGAGGGTCGCTTCCTTTTGAAAGTCTTTTTATCACTTCCCGAGTTTCAAGTCTATATAATAATAATAATAATAATAATAATAATACTCTTTATTCCGTCGACTTGTTACAGTATGGAATGCGTCTAACATCTATTATGAAACATACAATACAGAAAATTGCTATTTAACATATAAGTGTATATATAACAGTACTTGTACACAGATCACAAACTTATATCACAGAACTGAAATATTCATTGAGGGAATAATAACATTTGATCAATAATACTTCTTTAAGCACAGTCTTTAAATGTCTAGTAGATGAAGCATTAGTAATATGATAGGGGAGATGATTGTAAATTTTTAAAGGCATTACATAGCAGCTATCGGCTGTGTAAGTTAGTTTGTGAGGAGGAATATAAACTTTATGGGCAGCTCTTATTGGATACTCATTCAATTTTCCCCTTAGTTTGATCTTATCGCTTAATACTTTTTTGTGTACATATAGTGCACAATTCATTATGTATATTGATATGTCACTGTTAGAATTTTCAATTGCCGGAACAAATCCTTACAATGTTTCGTATGGGGCGCAAAAGTCATTGTACGTAGTACCTATTCGCTTCTGGCAAACTAAAATTTTGGACATCCAATTGGTATTACCCCAGCATACAATACCATAACTCAATATCGAATGCACACTTCCAAAATAGTATGAGCGCATAGTTTCATTATTGACTAATTTTCTAATTCTAAACAGGTCTCCATTTTAATTCCAGCTAAGATGCCGCTTCGCCCTTATTTATTGTTTCTACAATTAAAATTGTAAGAAAAATCATTTTTTTACGACACCAGTTTCAAAATTGCAAATTTTAACTGAATTTTTAATTTCTGAACCGTTTATTTCATATCTCTGTTTGAAACGATCATTTTTACCTAGGTACATATATTTATCTTTATTCTCCAAAAATTAGGTTAAAGGTTGGAAAAACTTTTGAGTTTCAAATAAATTGGCGAATTTTCTTCAAATAATAGTATAGGTATTGTTTCCCAAGGGTGAGAAGTGAATTTTCACTGACAAGTCGGAAGTTTTCCGACGTGTCATCGAACCTCACTCGTCCTCGGTAATTTTTTTAAAATTAGTGTGCGGGAATTGGTTGTATACGAGTATAAACGCGGCTAGTGATTAGTGAACACAGATTTTTGCAAGTGCTTTAAAGACCAATTATACACGTGTTTCTTCTAGTATTTTTTATTATAAGTACCTGCAATATAATTTAAAACTAAGGGAAATAATTACAATGAAATCCTATTGACGTTATACTCGAATACATGTCTAATTTAAGTGGGTTGTGTGCAGGTTGTGTGTTCGTAATTCCATGATTGTCATGGAAATGTCATTTTAGGGACCGTTCCGTTCTCATATATTAAAATATTTGTTTCGGGAAAGTATTTCTGAAACAGTCTTCATGTGGCAACTTTTGAAAGTTATAAGAACAATCTAAAATACCTCATTTCGTTCTTTTTGCACCACGATAGCACTCTTCTGAATATTAAGGAGTTTCCAAAAATACTGAGGTTTCAAAGTAAGTACTCTTATCTAGGTCGTAATTTAGGCTGGATAAAACACAATCATTTACAGATGAAACACTATTTATTCGACAAAACTATTCAATCAAGCTGAAAGAAAAATAGGCAGTACAAATACCACGCTACAAAGCGATCGATTGAAACAATTAATTAAAGAAATCTAAGTTACATTAATTAAAGTATTAATAATTCAAAATATCCGATTGTAACTGCAATTTTCATTAAATGACGCCGCAAACGAACACAAAAACCAACTGATCTTACTTCGGGAACCTCAATTCGTTGACTTAAATTTTGATTTAGACGGCACGAGCTCATTGTAATTTCAGATGTAATATTGGCTCTTTGATGGTGAGAAAACTCGCTTTAGTTGATACTTGAAGACCTTAAAGGAAGTTTCACATAAGCGATAAACACAACATTTCGACTAACTCCTTCGTACACTTAATTTCTTTAATTCAATTAAACATTCACTTTAAACGACGTAATTAAACTGTCTTAGACCACTCAACTAACTTACTCTACAAAACTGTACAACTGGCATGACGGACTGTCTCACGCTAAAATTCGACAAACCTGACTAAAACTAAAAGAATAAAACCATACCTAAGCAGCTATAAACGTCCACCGTCAAACAAGCAATGATTCGTCTTCCACTGCTATTTAAAACATGCATGCTTCTCTTAGTTTCCGCCTCCCCTCTACTTGAATTTGCGTCGTTGACATTAAACACCAGTTGTTTTTTTCTGATCGTCGAAACCTGCTTATCTTCAAACTAACTGACTTTACGCAGCGATAAACATTATCGCAACGACCGGAGATAAACTTCCAAAAATACTACGCAAACACAAAATAACAATTGCAAATCAAAATAAAATTTCACAGATTTCGCAATGCTTGCAACCATCGGAGACATTGAAAATGATAACTGTATAACGCCATATGTGAAACACAAATAACCCTTATTCACCCGGGATCACTAGACTTTCTGAATAATAAGCCTCATAACGTCATGTTCGTAATCCTATTAAAGGAGATTTCAGATTGGAATTAACAAAACAATTGCGCACTCTTAAGTAAGTACCTACTGTATCGACAGTATCCGCAACTTTGTTGTAGTCATTTTTTAAGCACCACGAAATATGCTCACCAGTTTCCCTGATTTCCGTAAATAGAGTATGGACCTGTAAAAACTGTCCAGAAAAATTGTACCCAATGCTAGATTCGTAGTTCTGAATATGAAAAAATAACTTCATTATAGTGTAGGTGCAAATCGAAGTAGTAAACAAACTTTTTTGAAATTATGAGGAGCTTTATTTAATTACTTGATTTATTTATTCACAATTAATTATTAATGGAATTATATAAGTCTTGTACATGTCATATACCAGTCACCATGCTTCAATTTGCTTAGGATATAGCGCAAATGGAAAGTTTCTAAAAAAAAATAACGAACGTTCTCAAAGAGCCTAGAAGATCTATCATATTTTAAAAAAGAGTGCATCGCATCCGTTTTCCATCCTTATCGGCGGCGATTAATCTTTTATTGACTTGATGGCGCCCCGATGTCAGGGATACTCCCAACAATACGAAACGTAGAGGTCAGTTAGTCAACACACAAGACTTGCAGGCAACACCTAGTTCCACTTGATAGGTATAGACAGAATAAGGGTATTTTGATTAATTTTCGGATTGCTGGAAAATTCTCTTCACTTAATCCCCACATCTTTTCAGGAAGAGTGTAAGTAAAAAGTGCGCTGAAAGAGGACAAAAGCTTGACCCCAATTGCATATTATTAAAAAATCCGGAGTTATATTTCTTTAAGTTAAGTGTTGGTTCTTTAATAAAAGCTATCTCTTAATTGCCTTTCTGAGCAGAGCATATTTTAAATAACTTTCACTAGACGGCACTGTACCCAGGCATTGGTGTGCCATACTGGGGGCTCCACTCCAGTGTAAAATATTTTGGGGGCCCCAATAGCCTCATTAGGACACCTCTCGAGCTGACCACCAATTTGTTTTTCAGAGATAGCGGAAAAGTTTTTACCAACCTACCCTTACACACTACTGGGCGACAAAGTCCGTACAAGGCGACACTTATGTTACTAAATGGTGTACCTATACCCAGCTTTGAATTTCTTTACTTTCTGCCTAGCAGTGTAAGGCAAAAATCAGTACACATTCTAGTTGTTCTAATTGCATTTAAAAAAAACCAATTTACTATAACATGTAATAAACAAATTAAAGTATTATAATAAACGTCTCTTATAAGCATACAATGTTTGATGATCATAATAAGTGTGAATAAGTTTATACATATGCCTAAAGAAAAACAACAAATTATCATACTGTCCATCATAAGAATTACTGTTATTTAATACTAAATTGTTGACTTTTCTATCACTAAAACAATTCTTCAATCCATCATACTCAGAATTTAATCCCCACATATTTAAATGAATCTCGATTAAAAACTGATGAACTGCTTCAATTGTCGATAAATACCATCTGGGACTACCCTTGTGATGTCTCCAAAATTGCGAAATACGTTGCTGTAAAACGACACACCTAAGGCTATTAATACGGGTATCCTTATAAATTCCTTTGCTTTGATTCCAGGTGCTATCAATAAATACTGCTTTTTTTACAGGTAAAATACTATTGCCATTGTGTTTAACATCTATATAGTCTTCTATGCTGTCGTCCCTCGATTTTGCAGTCATTAAGGTGGTTTTGTTGTGCCCTTTCGGCAGCATGTTGAGAATTCCTCTTTTACTATGTTCATCAAACAGTTGGTTTATAGTAAGTGCCTCGAAGCTTGGATAAATCAGTACAGTATCGTGATCATAATCGGGAATATTAGGATAAGTGTACACACTAACATCCTCATGGGCTAACACTGCTGCATGTGCCGCAGTGCTCTTCCCATCGATTTCATTTCTATGCTTAATGATATCGATTTTAAGTGGTAACTAAAAAAATAGTTGAAAAATTTGTTTACACTAGACTTGGGAATACCTTCACAAATGGTAACTTTCCGTCCAACTCTGACACCGGCACGTAACAGGTGTAACAAAAGTACTTTCTCGACTTTGAACATTTGGGGCAGGGGTAGCGACCTTCTAATTGATTTAGGAATGCGTCATCGTTAATTAACATACCCTCGAAAGGGGTTTTATCAATTTCGTCAGTGCCATTCGGCATTGCAAGTTTTTGTTTAAATATTTATTTATTTATGTTCATAACCTAAAAAGTTGAAGGAAGTGGCTATTGTACTTATAAACTGTCAATTTGTCTGTGGTTACTCACGTGGTACATACACAGTTCACAAAAAAATTGCTAAGATGCAGAATAAAAATAGAGATCTAGACGTGTCAAGAAATAATGGGCTGGTTCTAAACATAATTGCCGTTTTGATTTTTTTCTCTTTAGCTCCAGCTTGTTTGCACAAATATTAATACTTACTCTACAATGTGTATTAGCTGAGACTCTGCAAGTAATAAAATGGTTTCTCCTACTACTAGGATGAAAAATAATCCCGTGTTAACGTTGTTATTGTTGACAATAATGGCAATAAGACAATAATAAGCTTTCATTTACATAATTTTACTTAGAGTAGGTAATTAGATACCTAATTTTGTTTTCTAGGTTATTTTTTTTGCTTTCTCCGACTTGGCATAAGCATATAATTTGTTTGAAACTACAGTTATTGAGTGAGAGAAAAACATTTTTCTTTCTGAAAAGTGGATAATAACAATATTCACAATGAAGACATCTTCCCCTACTAAAAATTGAAGAAACAAATGGCTCATGTACCTCTGCTAATTTCCGAGATCCCTACACCAAACGTTAGAAAAAAAATCCCTGCATAAATAACTAAAATTATTTATGAATCAGTCTAGTATACACATTTTTTATACCTACAGTTTCTGGCTGTGAACATGCTAGATTGTTTAGATGCAAAGAAAGAGCAATATTAAAAGGTATAATGTTTATTGTAAAAAAAAATTAGTGTACCATCATAATGTAAAAGGTATAAATAAAACTAAAATAATCTAATAGCCTTATAGTTTACGTAAATCTAGTACAAACACGCTTCCATCGGAAGCACTCGCTCCGACTTTATCACCCCTGGAATTCCAGCATACCTCAAAGATACCGCCCGTACCTTTATAACTATGAACAAGCTGACCACTTTGAGTTGACCAAATGTGCACGCATTTATCGAAACTGCCGCTCGCCAGAAATTTACCGTCCGGACTAAACGCGACAGAGTATACCGGTTCGGTGTGTTTAGTCAACGTATGAATGCACACTCCTCGTTCCACGTCCCACAGTCTGACGGTGGAGTCGAAGCTGGCCGACGCTAAGATTAAGTTCATGTTGGGATTTTGCGTGCCGGGACCCGTCGGTGACCATTTGATCGTGTAGATCTCTTTTGAGTGGGCCTGAAGGTCGTGAACGCACGTGTCTTGTTTCATGGACCAAATTTTTAAAGTCATATCATCCGAGCACGATGCTAGAAGATTGCCTTGAGGATCCCACTTGATGGCATTCACTTCATTCTGTACAAAATTGTAGTGGATTGTGAAAACGTAAGCGTGATACTTACCGTATGACCTTGGAAGCTCTTGATTGGTTTGTCGATGGTAAGTTTGCAGACGTGGATACGTTGATCCGTTGAGCAACTCGCGAAGGATGTGTTTGTTTGCCAGTCGACATCTAGAGCAGGGGCAGAGTGAAAACTGAACTGTTGGGTACATTGTCCACTAGCCGCATCCCATATTATAGTTGTTTTGTCCACCTGCAGACAAACAGCATATCATCATGTTGTAAATAACAGCAGGAAGAGAGATGCAACATGCAACTGTTGCAGATTTTGTGGCCCATGTCACAACAGGAAATTGTCACCTGCTGCACAAGGTATACTGGTACAGTTACAAATGAATATATTTTTTTACGTCTGATTTCTCCCTTCGAGCTTTCATTGGGCTACTGTTTTGTGTAGTTAATTAAAATCGCGAAAATTTTTAATATTTACAAAACAATTTTCCTATACACTTTGTACTTATCTGGTATCTGTATGGAGGAAAATTATTGCACTATTGCAGGTCAGACTTAAGGTAGAACGAAACCCAATAAACATATGAGTGGGAGAGAGACATAACTTTACTAATGTTGACATTGACGTAGCAATTGATTCACAAAACGCATCATCGCACTTTTAGTTTGTTGTGTATTCTATATCACTTTACACTCATATAATGCTTATTCGGTTTCTTTCTAGCTATTATATCAGACTGTGCAATAATTTTTTTCCATACATGTACCTATACATATATAAAACAAAGCTGTGTATGTTTTACCACTTATAACTCAAGAACGGCTGGACCGATTTCATGATGATGAATAGCAGAATAACTATTAAAATATCGAAAAAAATATATAATAAAAATGATTACAAAAGTAAATAAGAGAACAAATGACAACAAATCAAAATTCAAATATTTGGAATGTTGCCAACCGTAAAATTAAAAAGTAATAGGTATATGCAAATGCATTGTTTATTAATGAATAAACAATAATCCTACAAGTTATTCGCGATTGCGAATATTTTCGATTAACAATAAATCGCGTAGTGTGTAATAATGACGAATAAACGCTTAAAAATACCCACTACTTTAAAAGATTTAATTTTTAAAGTGTTCACATTGCAATTTTGCAACAAATCTTCGTTATGAAACATGTCTTCACATTTATATAGACGTCTGTTAATTTACAATACTTCAAAATATTTAAAGTGTATGTACCTACATACTATAATTTTGCAAGTTCTGAAACGACGTCTCTTATTTAAGACAGGTCTCAATGGATTTAAAATGTGCATAGTGTGATTATACAAGGAACTACTTATTACACAGCAAAGTAGGCATATAGCTCATCACAAATGAAAAAAAATAGTGACACCATACACGCAAAACACAACAAACCAATAGCAACACACTATTATAAGCCAATCAGAACACTCATGCCGTTTGAATTTATGACGTGCTTTACCCGAATGAATTTAGTGCTTCTAACGTTATTATACAGCTGGTTAGTTGCCCAAACTTGCACCGACATCAAATATTATAATTCCAAGTTCTTAACTTCACAAAAAACAACACCTTTGTACTTATTTTTAGGCAAATAACATACAATCATAGAATGCGCATGCGCGCCTCTTCTAATGTGATTGGTTCGCAATGAAACAAGGAAAAAAAATTGGATTGAAGGAAATTATTATTTATTTCCTAGGCTTATTTGATATTTCAGTGTTGTGTGCAAACTGCAAATCCATAAAGGTGAATAGATTGAAAATTGTTATTTCATATTTATTAATTTTTTCATTGTGATGGGCTTATGATTTTTCAAATAATTAAAATGTGCACAGTGTGATTTTGCAAAGTTGCCTTAATGAATATTACACTTTACTTTCATTTATTTCTTTATTAGTAAATAAAACGTCAATATCAATGCTGTTGGGTGGGAAAACTCAACCACTCAACAAACACCCACCACCAAATAGTGCAACCAAAAGTTGCTGAATTTATCCAAAAAAGGACTCTAAGGTTATTCCTTACACCCTGTCCAGTATAACCTTCCTTTTTTTACCAAAAATCGACTACACCAAAATTTCTCGGGAAAACACTTTTTCTTATTAATTTGGGTGCGTAGAATCCAAATCAATTCGTATTTTTTCGATCAGACTTCTCAATCAAAAGTTATACCTAGACTAGAAACCAATTTCGAAAAAAAATTCAAAGGGCTGTAACTTTTGAACTAGTAGCCCAATCTTGGAACTGCTTGAAATTATGAATTCTACAGACCACATTCTATAAGAAAATTTTTTTTTCTGATCGATCTGCGACAATTTTTTTTTCGGGGCTCAAAAAAAGGCAGTGTATAACTTTCCTTTTTGACCAAAAATCGACTACACCAAAATTTCTCGGGAAAACACTTTTTCTTGTTAATTTGGGTGCGTAAAATCCAAATCAATTTGTACTTTTTCGATCAGACTTCTCAATCAAAAGTTATAGACTAGAAACCAATTTGGGAAAAAAAATTTAAAGGGCTGTAACTTTTGAACTAGTAGCCCAATTTTGGAACTCTTTGAAATTATGGATTCTACAGGCCACATTCTATAAGAAAATTTTCCGGGTCGATCTGAGACAATTTTTTTTTCAGGGCTCAAAAAAAGGTAGTGTATAACCTTCCTTTTTTACCAAAAATCGACTACACCAAAATTTCTCGGGAAAACACTTTTTCTTATTAATTTGGGTGCATAGAATCCAAATGTCGATACATACCCCTGCCGAAAGAATATAATTTCCCTTTTTGTTCCACTTTAAAGCAAAAATAGGTCCTTTATGCTGTCCCAAAGTGCTTGCCAATCGTCCTTCAGTTGTCCATATTCTAGCATATCCGTCATAACTACCGGTCGCCAAGAGGCTACCGTCACACTGAAACACAGTCTACTGAAGAAACATTGGGCGACTCTACGACACATACATTCCAATCTAACGATGTAACGTCTTTATTACTCGGCACTTCGGTTCCACCTTTCTGTATACAATGCCTCAAAACCAATTGGTTCGGACTGGTTGTGTTGTCCGACATATCCCAAATCCGTGCGGTACTATCGCCTGATCCGCTAGCTAGCAAGTCGGTGGTGGGATTCCAGGCGCATATGAACACTTCCGATTCGTGACCTCTCAAAACTGTTGCCTTCGAAGATGGAATTTCGATGGAAGTATCGACTTCCATACTTTCAGTTGGTGTAGAAACGACCGCTACGACGACTACAAACGCGCAATTCTAAATAATGTATGCTGCAGATACACACCTTCTGCACCCTCCTCGCCATTCGTGTCGGTAATTTCCGATTTAATAGCCTGTTTTTGCTGGTTCTGTTGATTTTGTCTGCTCGCGACGATATCCGGCATTACCGCGTCTATTAAACTCAAGCTCTCGACCAGTCGTTGTTCGGTCCCGTCTTCGCTGATGCTAATTTCCGCTTCGGTGTACTGTAATCCTTTTTGTAAAATACTAAGTAATGCGGCAGGCGGTACGAGAGCCCCATTTATGTTAGATTGAGAGATGTGGGACTCTATTCCAAATGTGTAAGCCGAATGTTGAAAGCCTATGGGAAGGGTAAACAAAACCTCAATTTTTGAGAAGGTGGTATGTTAATACCTGACTCCTGTAAATAGCGATACACTAAGAAATTCACCTCATCACTGGAAAAACTCATTATATTAACGTAATTGTAAAAATTTGTGAATAAATATTCACTAAAATGTTAATAAAAAGACGCCAAACATTGTACACAAGGGGCAATATTGCGCTGTTGCCACGTTTTTAATTTTAACCAAAATAAAGGAGAGAAAAGAGTTGATCCCATAAGCTGAAACAACTAAATAAGGATAGTAGACATGTCCATGAACCTCTTATATATATGCCATGAACCTACCAGCAGTGGCGTACCTAGGTATTTTTCGAAGCGGTGCCGGATCAGGTTTTGGCGCCTTAGTTACCATTGAGCTCTAAGTAATAAAACACTGTACATTTTTGAGAGAAACTTTACACGAAATTTTAAAAGCACTGCACTACTTAAATTTTAGAATAATGCTTTGAATAACGAAGTCTTTCACTCAACGAAGAATAGAAATAGGTACATTTATTTATCATGTTTTCAATTCTCGCGTCAAATTTAGCTATGACATAGGGTACAAGTCGTAGAAATGATTGCGTCTTAGAATAAGGGTGCAAATGCTGGTCACACTAATACAGACTATTGTATAGATCACAAATAAAGTATTATTATTATTAGTTTAAATTTGCAGCCTTTTCCTACCGCTGTAACTTTGTTCTACAACGGCCATTCAGAAAGTAACAGACGTTTTGAAATAAAAAATTAAGAAAGTGCAAGAAACAACTGTTATTATATACGCTCTTAGGCTGCTTTTCAACATAGTCGCCATTCATATTGAGGCACTTAACATAGCGTGATACAAGTGTTTTGATTCAAACTTTGTATACATCCGCCGACTGTGGGGGCGTCAGAAGTGGGTACCGACAAAGGGAATATGGTAGCCCCCAACAAGATCTTATTGATTGTGGAGTTAAAACTGGCTAATAAAAGTAATGATCTGCCACACAAAAATGCCTTGGATCTCACACTGTGACTTTGATAATTTCTTTAATTTTTTAGCAATGTTCCGTTCGTCCTAAAGGAGCGTAAATTTAGTTTTCATTATATTTCAGCGCACCCTGTAGTCGACTTCAGCAAACTATTAGAATTTAACTGCCGTTCTTGTCTTTTATGACTGGCCTATACGGTACACCACATACTGCCTATCCCGACTTAGTGCCCTCGGTACTTCAGAGCCTCTGGTGCGCCCTCCCGCCTTCAGAGCGCGGTGCCGCGGCACCTTTGGCACCTACCTAGTTACGCCACTGTCTTCCAGAGCAAGGTCAGCGGAACACAATCAAACATTGCATAATTAGGTGGTAATTAAGTGCCCCATTCCCGAATTAAATGCTCCTTTTTTTTTAAATTATTACATGTTTTGCCAGGTTCATATGAACTCAGCAGAACACTACCTGAAAAAACCAAGAAAATGAAAAGTGAACTAACAATAATTAGGTGCTAATTAGGTGGTACTTAAGTGCCCTATCCCCGAATTAAATGCACTTTTTGTTTAAAAATTATTACATGTTCTGCCAGGGTCATATGAACTCACTACCTTTAAGACCCAAGAAAATGAAAAGTGAACTAACTATAATTAGGTGCTAATTAGGTGCTCGTGCTAATTAAGTGCCCTATTCCCGAATTAAATGCTCCTTTTTTTTTGAAAATTATTACATGTTCTGCCAGGTTCATAATTTTAAAAAAAGGAGCATTTAATTCGGGAATAGGACCCTTAATTAGCACCTAATTATAGTTAGTTCACTTTTCATTTACTTGGGTTTTTAAGGTAGTGCTCTGCTGAGTTCATATGAACCGAATAATAATGGTATTTCCGTTAAACAAATAAATAAATAAATAAATAGTCCGCTCTCGCCTTCTTAGCTGCCGGTTCCTGTATGAAGAGTTAAATACACTGAAAACTGCATCAGATTCTTTATTTTTAAAAGATTTTTGCAATTATGCTAATAAAACGGCAACTACAGCTACAACTGTGTTCAATTTCTTTTTTTGTGGTATGCCTCCAGAACTAAAATGTGAGCGTTCATAATAATTTAGTGCTCCAATCTTGTGTCCAAACAAATTAAAACAAGAAATTTTAATAATCAGTTTAAATGCCCATATCTCAATTATTGAAGTGTGAAGAAGTGTTAAAAGGTTTTCATCGTACTGGACGTTTAAAATATTAATATTTAGGACGGTTAATATCAAATTAAAACATAAACGGCAACAGTGTATCGCGTGAAGTTAGCGACGCGAATTTTGAAGGGCTGCCAACCGCCACCGGATGCTTTAGTATGGCGTCCGGGGATAAGTGCGTGAAGAATTTTGGTCGAATATCTCCCGTGCCGGAAGATTCATCCGAAAGTGACGGCGAAACCGAACCCGCGAAATCATTTCACAGACGATTATCTACTAATCACGAAATAAAATGTTCGGTATGTGTGTGTGACACTGCCTGAAAGCTCGTTTTTATGATCGTACTCAAAAAAAAAAGATGGAATGATTATGTTTTTATTTACTTGTATTGTGTTGAATTATAATTGGAGTGTTTGCTTGGCCTGTACATTTCAGAATGTTTAATCCCAGAGCTTTTATTAAATCATCTCTTCGTTCCATTTACGAAGCGATATAGTGTTGTTTTTCTCTTAACCGTAATCACCCGCTTTTCGCATTTTATACAAGTTAGCTTTCGGTGTTTTTGTATTTGAGAATTCAATTTGCATAGGTTTACATTATTGATGTGACCTACTTAAATTATATTAAGATGTTATGCTACTAGGTCAGTTCCATTGTTTATTATGTTGGATACCTGTTGTGTTGTTATCTATCTTTAAGGCTATTACGTTAACTACAAACATCAGGCATGGCTTTCTATAGTTTTGTATTACACACAATTATGTTTTGTGCTTTATTGAATAAATGATATAATATGTATCTTTTATTTGGCACGCATCGGCATCAACGCGTTGAATTATTTCTTTAAAAAGTCGACTTTAGTATACGTATATATTTTTTGGGAGCTATACGAAACTTCGAAACTACCTATCCATGTCTATTGACGTTAGTGTACAGAATGTAATAGTGAGACGACCTTACGGAGAATAAATAGATTTGGACATAGAAATTTCGCACGTGATGAATTTTAAAAATGACCAATGTGATATAAACCTTTAATAATAAATTCGAGTTCAAAATTTATTATGTATCGATTTGGGCGACAGTAATAGCCAGGTTGCGGACAGCATTTTCCGTTATGTTAGACGGCCATTTTTCCTTATAATATAAGTTTATAAGTATAAAACATTTTTATAGCAAAGTGTGTGCTGGGCGTGTTCAATTTTGCTTATAAGTTTGAAGGAGTCTTAACCTCACTTTTATTTTACATTGTGTTAAAATGTCCAAAGTTCACTACTATGCTCTTAGACAAAAAGAAAAGAACTACCGCCAACATAAACACTGCACAATTGTAGGTTAGCAGGAAAATGTTATTTATGAGTGATTACGTACTGCGCAGTGACACATTATAAGAACTTCATTTTCATTGGTTCCGCTATTTATAAATATATCGTACAAAAAGCCCTCATACCGTAAATTATTTCTACAAAAATTTATATTTCTTATGTTATAAGAAACGTCTAACATAACGGAAAATGCTGTCCGCAACCTGGCTAATGAATTACAAACAAATAGTGACGTTAAGTTTTCTTCCTTGGAGAGGAATTATCCAATTAATTACTAGCTTTAGTATTTTAATTCCTTATGTACGTGCTGAAAGTAGAGATTATAACGTGAGGTTTAGGCTTAGAGAAGGAAAGATAGAGAGAGGATAAAAGGTGATCGTACGTGAGGTAAATTTTAGCGCTGTTTACCACCATTAGCATAGCCGCCTACAGTTCTTTTTCGTAGCATTAAAGTTAATTTCAAACTTACAATCACGTACGACTGAAAATGCAAAGAAGAAGTAAAAAAGTTTTGTGTGCCACCAAGCTATGCGAAAATTTGCTTCAACCCGCAGCATTTTATTTGATTGGGTATTACAGGTGCTCTCCTTCCACAGTTTATGGGTTTAGGTTGCCGCTGCTTTAATTCCAACCCGCCACATAAACAACCAACTAGCTCAGCGTTAGAAAATAAAATAAAAGCTTGAGATCTTCTACAGCGGTAGCTCGTTCTGGGCATTCAATCTTCATTTCGTCACAATTTACCAATAGGATTGAGCGCCATTTAATTTTTATCTTAACTCTGTGAGAAGATACGAGGGTAGTAATAACAGGAAAATCCATTTAGGTACTAAAAGAAATACTGGTTTATTCAATCAACAAAATCTCAAGATGAAATTGTCTCCAAAATGGATAGCGCAAATACAAAATACTCCCCAAATATTCAAAATTACTGACTACGTGACTGAAAACTCTTTGTAAATTAAATGTACAATCAAAACTTCCCCAATTAACCAAACCCCCTATCGAGAATGATCGATTAATTGACTATGTCAATAACAAAAGGTTCCAAAAAACAAAATTAAATGCGATCGATAATTATTGCTTCGATAATGAAAGCACAAGTATTCACATGTAATCGTAATACTCGAATTTTAAACACGTGTAATCACGAGGCGGAAGGGTTGGTATATTTCACAAGGGAAGTAGATAATTTAACGAGGTAATTATGGGCCAGAACTCATTCTTAAGGTGCGACAAATCTACTGTAAACCTTTCATTACAAACGTCCCTCTGCAATCTACACGTACGGCGGTCATAGGAGATGACACGGCAGTAGGGAATGTAATACCGGGATCCCGCAGCATTTTTGCGGGATTAATCCCGCACATAAATGGAGCGGGATCCCGAGGGATTTGCGGGACTGAGGAATTTGTCGACCAAGGGGACGACTCTGTTTACTTTTTTAATGAAACGCATAACGGAGAAGTTATTTTTTAAATAATTGTTAAACTTTTTTAGTTATTAAATGCCCTATGATTTTTAAGGCACCTTAGAAGTTCACCTTTTTGTGCTTTACATGTGAGGTTGAATTCTAAGTTAGGCTGAAGATACTTTTTTGTTAAATATTGTGATAATTAGCGATTTATTTTAATCCTCAAGTTAACCTTACAGAATTGCTTATTTGCCAATTTATATACCGGGATTGAGATTTTGCTGAAGGA